ATGTCGTGTTTTGTTTTTCAGGATCGCTGAATGTTGGCCCATCTGTGCTTTCTTCTTAAAATGGTGCCGTGTTTTCCAATCTCTTCCCAGCTTTATCTCCAATTTCTCTTAATTGTTAGCATTTTCTAATACATACTCACAAAGTCATACCTTTTTTCATGAACTTTCTATTTGTGAAAATTACCCTTTGTTTGCATGCCTGTACCTTTCACTTCCTTTTTGTCTGCTCTCATCTCTGTACTTGTGGACTTGCGCTTGTGTGTGTTTTTGGTGTGCAAAAATAATGGCAATAGATAATGACATCTATTGTATGTATGTATCAAACAAGTTCAGCCTTCATTTTTCTGTTACCTTCAAATTAAATCAAATCAAATAGCTACAAGACTGTCGTTAAAAAACCTCTGTTAAAAAAGATGTGCACTGTTTTATCTAGGTAAATACAAAAAGATTGTAGCTTTTATATATTATTTGTATGGATATTGATTACTGCACACTCCTGAATTACAAGTCGCAGAAGAGAATGAAAGTTACTTTAAAGGTCCCATGTCATGTATGAGAAACCAATGTGAGTTTGGAAAATTGCACAATATAAATCTATTCTAGTATACCTCAACAATGGAATTATGATCCGTAGAAATGGCCATGACATGGGAACTGTAAACCCAGTGCTGTCAATACATTGTATATTACCTTCTATTAAATAGCTTTTATTGTGATTAAAGCAGAGCAGCAGGAAGTAGCATTTTAGTGAGATCAGCATGAAAATGATTAGTATTGACTCAGGATACTTTTGCAAACATGGCTGTTAGAGAAATGGATCAGAAATGTCTCAGTAGGAGCTCATCACCATTGAATGTCGATTTGAGCACGTTGCCTGAGAGTAGTTGAAAAGGGAAATTGAGTAGAGATAAAGGATCGGACATCAGCTTCCCTAATGGGTACGTCTCTGGTGAGAGAAACATGTCAGACCACTCAGTGTCAGATCATGTAATTATTTGTAGCTTTATACGATACAGCACAAACTCTAAAGGGAAATTATAAATAATTCAAATATAAACCCTCAAATGAATGTTTCAACGACTCGGCGCCAACCCCAGCATATTGTATATTCAAGAAAACTGTGCAGATCTGTAGTACATTACAAACTTCTTTCCCTCCGATTGGCTGCCTTTCAGTCTCTCTGAATTCAGTTTGTTTTGATGATGCCTTTAAGGACTCATTAGGAAACGGCCAAGCTGTCAAATCTAAATCTGGGATGAAAATTATGAGTCTGCTTGTTCTCGCAAATATTTAATCGTCACTTTGCAACCAAATAATCAAGTCAAAAGCAAGTGCAAGAGATGGAGTCCTTACTCTACACATTTCCCAAATCAAAGGCACAACTAGTATGATTTTCCTTAAAAATAAACAATCAATATATACAGCAGAAGTTGGCTTTCTCCACTCTGGCGAGCAACGTAGGAGGGAGGAGGTGCCATCTTTGAATGTTGTGTTTACCCACCCAACAAATCCCACTCATTGTTTCAAGGAGTCTCACAGAAGTGGGATGAAGCTGCTTAAAAATCATATACCATAGAGACAAATTAAATCAGATTCAGATATTACAATTCATCATTAGCTTTTCATATTTGTTCAACATGACCACAGTGTATTCATCTTTTGGCCATTGTACATGTGTGCACATGTGCTGCAGATAATGAGTACATGAGGGTGTTCATTAGGTCTGTGGCTACAGCAGCTGTGTCCATCACACATCCTGCCCATCTGCAGAGAGATCGTCCTTTTTAAGGTTACCTCTTTTATAGTATGTTTCTAAGGTTGTTTCACACCAATATAACAGTTTATTTTCTGTATAGAGAGCTGTAAAATGTTGAAGGTCTATTATGATTTATTAATATTGAAAGCCTTTTGATAGTTTGGTTATGTTGCGATCAGCTTCTTTTCTTTAATCACTAAATCTTAGTATTCCCCCTTGGCTGCTGGCTGACTATCATCAGTGGCTACTGTCTCCTCCAATATTCTTACTCTTCTTCTCCCCTACACTCAAATACACAAGAGCACCTCCCAGGAATACATTAGGAATACATTAGGACTGTAACAGTAAATGTGTTAAAACCACATGATGTAAGACCTACTTTTGTAGTGCTGCTCTTAATGGAACTCATTGAGACCTTGCTTTTATTATCGCTGGCAGAGTATTTAAAGGGCTCAACAGGTTTGAGCAGCCCACTGAACATTACATATAGACTACTAAGTGGGACAATTAGGAGCATTTGCTCACAGTACCTGCTGTACAGTATATTCTGTTTAAGGCCATCATGTACTAAGTCTTTCTCTGTTGCATAATAGAAAGGTTGCATTATGGAAACATAGATTGTGAAAAGGCAGTTGAATATCCAATGCTTGTCATTTGTGGGTGGAGCTTAGTACAACCAAATGCTAATTAAGATTTTTTTAGGAAACCAAAACGTTACAATGAACTTTTCATGAACTGAAAGCGTTAAAAATGTAACACCCAGACCTGAGAACATCTTGGTATTGATCTGTGAATCACAGGGAAGCCCCGCCCTAAAGCATACCCTGCTTAATTATACATTTAAAAATAAATGGGACACTAATTTACAAAATGAACATCATGTTGTATTGAAGGAGACTTGGACCTAGTTCTCGAGACTATGAACTCATAGGGAAAATGTTTACTGAGGAAATAAAATCTAGTTAGTATTAGGGGCATTTTCTGTTTACCATTTGACTGGTTGAGTCACTTCCTTATCAGAGAAAATTCAGGTTAAAAGCCAGTAGGCATAGGCTTTACTTTTCAGTACCGGAGGTTGCAACTTCTGTAGGATTGACATTGGCCGTCTCACACTCTGGTGATGTTGCAAGAAGGATGAATGAACACAAATGTGTCAAACATGGCAGGATTAAAACTGTGATTATTAGTGTAAACTATAATGGTGGACTAGTAAAAACACTTGTATTTAAATGTTTCCATTACCAACAATCAACATCCAATCAACCAATTGCATGTAATGAAGACTGCTTTTACAACTCTACATTAGTATACATTCATACTTGATACCAATTAATTTAGCTATTTTTCCTTCTTTCAGTGGTGTGATTTCAGTGCACCCTGGGGGAAAAAATGTGCTGCAAATAATCCAGCTGCCTAATCCTTGGCCTCCACCAGCTCTGCCAAAGTGCCTCTAGTAAGGATCCGAACCTTCACTAACTCCCGGGATAATAATGATTCATTTCACTACACATGAATCTCCTTGAAGAAATAAATAAAAGCAAATTCCAACTTGTGTTTGCTTTGTGAGCAGAACTTTGAAGCAGATTCTTACATGATATTATATGATGTATTTTAAAGAACATTTTAATTATTTATTTTTGATTGAGTTTACTGCTAATATGATTTAAAAAAATTAGCTTAATGTCCGGCTGCTCTTGTGAGGGGCTGCTTCTTTCACATTTGTCCCTGCAATTTGCTACTCCTCCATCTAGAAAGTATGTCATGTATAGCAACATTACTCATTTTCTGAATCCTTTTTGCTAACCCAACAACTCTTTAGTTTGGAGTGTGCGCAGAATATGACTAGTGGGCAATAACTTAGTAGGTGAAGTCTTCACTGTGTACAAAAGAACAACATTTCAATGTGCTTTCATTGCAGAGCTAAAGCTCCAATGCACCGACCTATTAGACTTTCTAGAGCGCAAGAACTTGTACAAGGCGAAACTGTGGATATATGCAAACACTTACATTTGAGCAGCGCAAGGCAAAATAAATCACACATCCAATATAAAGCGAAAACTGGATCTCATCCTTACTAGTCACATATTCCCCCTGGCTTCACAATAATGATGCTGTGTGCAACCTTTATGTGGTGTCTTCACATATATTTCCGTCGGTTTGAGAACGCCCACTCCACAAGCGTTGATTTCTGACGCCCTGGGGGTGTCGGACTCCTTGAAAAGACGTCTCGTTCAGCAACACACATCACTTCAGTAAAGCTTTTCAGCACTCAGGTCGTGTCATACTCCAAAGATATAATTGATGTTGACACACGAGCCACACAACTCCCCCTGAACCCTCCATTGGTGGTTCCCCCATATTGGTGCTAGTGTAAACCTCAGCCTTCAGCTGTCACATAGAGTACAGTGAGCTTTTCTGCATTAGCGTCGTCCCACACTCCTAGCTCGGAGCCATCCATATTGTATGAGCATGTAACCTACATCTATCCATGCTTCTGTCAGCAGGGGTCCTATGATCAGACAGGTTCAGTATGCAGGGTGTCCAAAAATGTGTTTAGTAGAATCATTCCCCTGTCAGACGAGATCAATGTCCTGCTGATTTTACATGCTTTTTAAACTCTTAAAAGTGCTTTTGAAAGGTCTGCCAGAGGCTTTCGGGGTTGTCCTCTTTAAATGGGTCTTCAAAATGTGTTAAGGCTATAATAATAAAAGGTAATGGAGTTTTTATTGACGTGTCATCAGGGTGAGGGTGGAACATTAATCATACATTTTTTATCTTTCATGAAGGTAGTATAAGATGTGTTTAATTTATGTTTTATGGCGAACCAAATGTTCGCTTTTTGAGGTTATTAAACTGCATGACATTTTTAATCAACGTGTTGTCATGGTTTTATGGATCTGCAGTAAATGTGTAAGAACAAAAAAAAAAGAGAAATGGAGAGATAGAAGAGCTATGAGACATTAGGTCGACAAACTCCCACTGATGAGTGAATGGGAGGCGTTAATGATGGGATTTACTAAAGCAGCATAAAATCAGCCAAATAGTGAGGGAAATATGAGGCTGGCCAAGGAGAAATGTAATTGTTGCAAGGATGAGGGACGAACACTCATGAATAATTTTGCTGCGCACCATATTTAACTGACAGAATATTCAGTGAGGCTGATTAATCCTTAACCACACAGTTTTAGCTTTCTGTTTGACACAACATAACTGTGGTTTCTCTTTATCTCTCTTTGTGTCCCAGATTCTGATCGGGGAAGTGACCAGTTTCTTTGTGAAGGCAGAGGGAGCTCAGGAGAAGACCATAGTGACCGCTGACTGCTGTTACTTCAACCCCCTCCTCCGAAGGATCGTACGTTTTCTGGGTCAGTCAGAGTCCTAAAGATCAGAGCCTCTTTAGTTCTGACTAAATAGAGCCTCTTTACCCTGGGTCCAAGTCTGATTTAGACTAGCATCAGTCCTCCTCTGTCCTACGGCCAAAAACAGCTCCTTAGTTAGGTCTCCTTTGGATTCATTTACCCTTCTTCGTGTTCTCTTCTGTTGATGTTCTGTCATATTTTCCTCATCTCTGTAGCCTGTATTTATCTAAGTCATGAATCTTTTAAAGTGATGGCTCTAGATATGGAGCGTAAAAGCAAAGGCTATGTCTGTCTGGCCTTTCACTCCCACACAGTTTGCAGTCAGCCTAACTTTTAATTCTCATTTTAGTTCTTGTTTCTGACTGTCATCAGTCTCGTTGTTTCTTTTATTTTGAGCTTTAACACACAGACACACACACACCCTACCACTTTCTAACTTTGTCCCTCTTCCTTTTCTTTTTACACAGGTGTCTACTCCTTCGGCCTCTTCACCACCACCATCTTTGCCAACGCAGGTCAAGTGGTGACAGGAAACCAGACGCCTCACTTCCTGTCTGCCTGCAAGCCAAACTACACAGCTCTGGGCTGCCAGTCTCCGCTGCATTACATCGCAGAACGCAGAGCCTGCACAGGAAACCCTTACCTGGTGGCGTCCGCCCGCAAATCCTTCCCCTCCAAAGACGCAGCGCTCAGCTTTTATTCAGCCATCTACACAGTGGTAGGGGTCTTTGAGGGGGCTATGGGTGACAGGGGAGGAAGGATGATGTATGTTGATGACAAACAAATACTATAAAGTCTGCCACTTTAAGGATATTTTTCATGCTAAGATTTCACTATTGCAGACGTAAAATAGCTCAAAAAACATGTTTTGGTAATGCTTCATTATATTGAAACGTTTATAAATTACAAGCTGTAATGAAGGGATTCTTAATGGTTCATAAATAATTACCTAATGCCTTTTTATATCAATATTTAAAAAATAACTTAACTAAAATCATGTTGGCTGAAATTAAGCACAACAACACAGTCCAAAGGTTTTTCTTATAACTGATTTAACAACTGATGAAGACATGTAATTTCCTTCTGGTAAAACGTGCATGTGAGTCTCTATTATTACATCATGTATTAATGATTAAAGTACTGCTACATGGAGCCTTTGTTCTTCAGTTAATTGCAGTGTCATGTTTCTGTCATTTTATCAAAGCATTTAACCAAACATGGCAGTGGTTTTGATGTTGCTTTCTTTTGTACCTCTCCTCAAACCCTTCAGCTGCTGTGATTCACTGCAGACTGTGGCCTCTTGTGGCTTCTTCAAGCTGTTCCCCTTTTGAATTATCTCAGCTAGCTGACTGAAGACATGTAGCCAAGACGGTTCAGCCCACAGTGGAAAGATAATATGATATTCATTATTTGATTGTATCTCTTCCAGATGTATGTGACCCTGGTGTTCCGGACCAAAGGGACACGCCTGACTAAGCCCACCCTGTGCCTGGTGCTGCTGTCCCTGGCCGTGCTGGTGGGGGTGGTGAGGGTGACTGAACACAGGAACCACTGGAACGATGTCCTGGCTGGGTTTGTCACCGGAGGGGCCATCGCTGCCTTCCTGGTAAGGAGAGAGAGGGGATATGAAGAGGGAAAGAAGAAATGGATGCCATCTTATCATGCTGTTCTCATTAAGATATACCTTTCTGTGACATAATGTGTTTATGATGGAAAAGCAGACGGTAATAGGTCAAACCCTCATCTCTACTTTTGCTAAATTTGATATAGTGAATGTGTTTTGTCCTTGTATGGCAGAGCAGGGACGTGCACAGACATTTGGAGGGGCTATTGCTCTAAACTAGAGAAAGGGCCTCCCCCCACCCCCCCGAAAACGTAAGAAGTTTTTATAAAAAAAGAAAACCAGGGAAATTGTTTGTTTTGCGGTCCATATCTCATTAACATATCTAATGTTAGGAACTATTAAAGACAAAATGCGGACAATTCTGTTTTAATGTAGTTCGACCATTGTAACGGCTGTGCCTTAAATAAACTCACTAATTGATTAAACCAGTTCAATACGCATTATTCTTAGTCTTATCATTCTTTATGAGCGCAGTAACGGTAAGGTATCTAATTACTTATTTATTTAGTATTCCATAACTTCATAACAGAGATGGTCAAACTAAAGTAGAGACATGGCAGAAATCCTACAATGAAGCGGGACAGTGAAGAGTTCTCCCGTGAGAGGGCGATCAAGAAAAGAGAGCGAGCGGTGAGGGAGTTTACGGAGCAGATGAAAAGACACAGAAAGACAGAAGCACAATAACAAGTATATTTAGGTGTAAATAACCGACGGTGTCAAGAGGAAGTAAAGTCCCCGATACTCTAACTGCCATGAGAAAACTCAAAATCAATTCAAGCATATTTAAAAACGGGGACATTTCCGGGGACAGATTGACCCGAGGATTGGCCACCTAAGCCAGGCAGGCACATGATCACCATAGCCACATGAGACCGGACCGGACTCGGAGGGCTTTCCTTTGCTTTTCAGCTGTCAGATTGTAAACAAAGTCACGTGACGCTCAGATGACAGTGCTGACAAGGTGTGTTTTATCGCAGCGAGACTCTACAATACTAATTGTGGGCTTATCATGTTTATTCGGCCACAACAGAAAAAAAAGACTTTCGCTCTCTCCAGAGGGGCAGGTCAGCCAAAAAGTTAAAAAGGGCCGTTGCCCGGGCAACATTAGCCCGTACCTGTGCACGTCCCTGTGGCAGAGGCTTTATGACGATGGAGAGAGGAGGGAAGAATGCAGAGAGAGAGCAGTGTGTTGGTGTGATGGGTGCAGGAGAGATGGTGGGAGGATGAACAAGCTTGAAAGAGCACTACTGCCTGTGTTATAGAGGAATCACACACACTATCACATCTATGAATGTGAATGGACTGATCTGGACCTTTATGGCTGATTTAAACAGTGTCATTTGGTCTTTAGACCTCTCAGCCTCAATCAATTTTTCTGGCAAAACTTATCAGGTCGATGTTAATTTTAAAGATCAAAGATCTCACTTTGGTTCATCCCTTTCTTTCCATGCCTCCTCCCATATTTCATTCTTTGTCTTATTTTGAATATGACTTTTCTGTAAGTGTCCTCTTCAGTATCTGTTACCAGGCACACTCTAGGCATTTCAGGCACCAGATCATCCATCTTCAAAGTGCAGTGGAGTGGATCTCTCAATATATTTTTTCTTTTCTATGCTCTCCATCAGGTGTCATGTGTGATCAACAATTTCGAGCAAACTCAAATATCCATGCCGAGTCCCCCACCACATCAGCGTCCAGAGCCCCCGATCGGCATCCCTCTTCTCAGCCTACCCCGCGTGGAGAGTCCACTCGAAAAGTTAAGTAGCCTCCAGGTAAGGGATGGGGAAAACTTGATGGAGAAACATTGATTAAGTAGATATCTATTAATATATGTAATGTAGGCCACACAGCTGCCGCACATCTGATGGTGATTAGATAATCATGTTTAACCATAGGGGTGAGGAAGGAGAAATCAAAAAGCTCTCAGCAAATTAAGAACAAACATTGATAGGAGCGACAGCCAATCAAATTACTGATTTTACATACCTTTTTGGCTGTATATAATGAAACATACACAAATATGATGTGTGTTCATGGTAAAAGTTAAAAGAACATCATAAACACCTTTTAAGTATGAATTTCACCTAGCGCTACCATGTAGTTAATAATTCAAGCGTTTGAGTGAAATATTTTGACAGAAATTCATGTCCCCCATCGGATGAATTGCAATTACTATGTTCATCCTTTCTAGTGCCATCCTCAAGACAGAATTTATACTTTTTTTTATGGAAATACCTAGAAAACTAGTACCAATCCCATCAGAAATAGCTATACTCTGTGTTTAGTGACGCATATATTAGATGTTTATCATGTTAGCATGATAAAATTAACTTTAACTGGATAAGTTGACCCTTTTAGAACATGGATGTGGGACTACAGATTAGCTTTTGATTGTGTATCAGCCTCCTTTTTTTGTCCTTATGATAACATTGGTTGTTTCATTGTAACCAAATGTATGCATCTTTCTGTCTGATATCTTTGTTGTGTACTATCTCTTGTCTAGACATCATCATGTTGTATTCTTGTCTCTCACTGTCTCAGTCAAGTAAAGTTGATCTGCTCTATTCCCTCAGGCTTAACTTCCCACATGTTTTGAACTATATTATACTCTTTGCTTCTTTCTCTCCTCATCCTCTCTCTGTCCTTTTCCCTCCTGTTAGGCTCCAGGGCTACCGTATTCTGAGATCACATGACCATCAGCCAATCCCGTCCCCAACCCCTCCCGATGTGCTCCTCCCGTCACGACGTTGCCTCACCAGCGCAGTCTAGACCTTCCCACTGAATGCCCCCCGCCCTGCCGTGCCCACCCCGAAGGACGACATCCTCTCAGACGAGTCAAATCTACGCAGGTCTGAAGGTCCACCAATCACAGGAGACAGAACAGCGACACGTGCACATGGCTGAAACCTGTCATCCGCTAAGGACCAATCATTGACGGATCCATGTCCTTCTGTCCAGTTTTGTCCTGTTTGTCCTCCACAATGGCCTCCTATTTCTTTCAGGTATTGAAGACCCAATGAAAGAATCGCCAAAGCCAGAGCTGTTGAAGCAATACTGTGTCCTAACTCCTTCTCCTGGTTTCCACAAAGACCCAACAGTGACTCTGAAGACAGTTGGCTGGTGATGACTTGGTAAATTAAATAAAAACTAACAGTTTGGGGATCGAAGGAAAGTCCAATCCCCGGTGGATCGCCCTCATCAGACTATTTTGCAACGCTCAGGACAATACAGTGGAAAACAGGACAGAATTTAAAAAAAACATACCTTTATGGAATCGAAATGCAGGTACTGTGGAGTATTATGGTACAGATTTGTATTTCTGTCCTCAAAAATAACAAGAGTTGAAGAAGAAAGCACCTTTGTAAATGATGGCACAGATGAACCAATTTAGTGTTCAATTAACTGTGTTGTATCTTATTTGTTATTGGGGGATTTAGGATTGATCTCTTGCTGTATATTGTGTGAAGTGACAGAAGAGAGATTTATACACGCTACAGCTGTGCTTGTGATACCACGTTTGTTTGAGGCATCAGTTAATTCATCCTTGAAGTGAACTGGACTAGATTTCCATCAACTCTCCAAATATCTTTTATCTACTTACTATTCAGGTGTGTGTTTCTAAATGTCTGTAGGTTGTACATTCATGCTGTGGAACATTTGGAAGGTTTTATCATTTGACTTACTGCCTTTTCTTTGTTGAGTCTTTGTTTGTGTAATGCTGCATTTCTATTGCATATTTCAGAAGTGCTTTACTCGACAAGACTCACATTTTTTCCCGCCGAAACTGAGGATCAAAGCAAACAATGCAGACCACAGATTGGTCAGAGCATGCTCATCATCAGAACATGGTACATGTTTTTAAATAGCCAAATCTGCCCTCAATAGAAACCTAATTTAAAAAATGCACAAAACTGCGCCCTACAATTGCAGACATTTTGTTGAGTTGCTTCTGAAAGGACTTAAAAAAGAACCTAATACCAGGTTTAAGTCGAGTCGAGCAGAACAGTACCGTGCAGTGGAAACACAGCATTAGTTTGCATATATTTGACACTTTATTTCTCCCATACCACTTTCATATGTGTAATTTTTATACCTTTAAAATACCAGTATCTTAATGTTATTGTATTTGCTTCTTTTACTTTTCATATTTAATGTTTTTTAAGAATATTTCAAAATCACTTGTTGATGCTCCCATTTATCCGTCCTGTCCAGTTATTTCCTGCTTCAGCCCGGCATCCTTTCATCACAATTACTTTAGGATACCAAGGGCACAGACCAGTGTGTAAGACTTCTGAATTTTGCAAAGTTTTGTACAGTATATAGGTTTCTTTACACAGTATATACAACTTTTTCATTACGTTTGAATTATGTGAACAATGTGAAACTATCTTAAGCTGTCTTGTGTAGTTGCCTGGCCATGAGCAGGAATGTAGCGCGGTGTAGGAGTGTGTAAGATCTCACAACATACAGCTGGTGTGTGTGGCTCAGGAGAACACTGCTAGCATGTTATTCTAGAGTGTGCGAAGAGCTATATACTGTAAAGAAGAAATTGCTATATGGTCTTATTAAGTGTGTGTGTGTGTGCGTGTGTGTGTACGTGTGTGTGTGTGTGTGTGTGTGTGTGTGTGTGTGTGTGTGTGTGTGTGTGTGTGTGTGTGTGTGTGTGTGTGTGTGTGTGTGTGTGTGTGTGTGTGTGTGTGTGTGTGGTACGATTCAGATTTCTGTGAATGTTTATAATGAGCACATTGTATGGCAGGATAACTGTTAATTTGGCAATCTGTTTTCTTAAGTTAAACTGTCAAAAGTAGCTGCTATAATTACACACTTGTGGTTGTGTGTAACTGCGGGCCTTCAAAGGACTCCTGCCAAGGCATCCTAACAATGCCCGTTATAGCAGAAGGTGCTCATTATAGCACCGAGATTACCTTCATTGAAACTTTTCAGTCAGAATTTTTTGTAAACAACTGAAGAGATAAAGAGAACACCATAACTGTCGAAATAATTTTATTTTCATGTTAACATGTCCCTGTTTTGTATTTATTTACCAAAATAAATTGCGATTACCACACATTGCTGCCTGAATTAAATGTTTCACTTAAGTCTGTTAAAGCAGTCTCATTTGTTTTTGCTATTACATCAAATCAGACTAAGAGCCGTACACCGTTTTCACAGCAGTCATTTTCACTTGTCACAGAAGGAAAAGCACATATGTATCCAATATAATTTAAGATTTGCTCTGTGAACAACCTCACAGGTGTTTTAAGTTAATCTGTTTATTAGACCTCTTCTCAGGACTGGGTGGATGTATAAACTGAAATTGAGTGACATCTCCCTGATCCTCTTGTTAGCTTTGGTGGGCCTAGGGTGGGACAAATTCCCCTTTATCATTGTTATTGGTAGATAGAGATGTGTGACCTCATATTATCCCATCCAAACTCCGGCATACCTCAACCTGAGCAGATTTCTAATCAACCACAATAAATGAAATCACAAGTGTGTGTCCCAATAAGTCTTGACAGTGTGAAGCGTGGAGATTCCGCCAGCATTAATTGTCTTATTCACAATTTGGCTTTGCTTTCTATGACATGTTACTATCTAAGCTGGAAGAATTATACTGACTGAAGCTCTGATTTTGAGGCTTTGAAAGAATACAACATAGAAGCAGTATCCTCACTTTTGTACTTACAATACAAAGTACATTCAGAAAACTAGAGCAAATGTATTACACTGAACAAAAATATAAATGCAACACTTTTGTTTTTGCTCCCATTTTTCATGAGATGAACTCAAAGATCTAAAACATTTTCTATATACACAAAATAACCATTTCTCTCAAATATTGTTCACAAATCTGAAAAAATCTGTGATAGTGAGCACTTCTCCTTTGCCGAGATAATCCATCCCACCTCACAGGTGTGGCATATCAAGATGCTGATTAGACAGCATGATTATTGCACAGGTGTGCCTTAGGCTGGCCACAATAAAAGGCCACTCTGAAACGTGCAGTTTTGCTTTATTGGGGGGGTCCAAAAACCAGTCAGTATCTGGTGTGACCACCATTTGCCTCACGCAGTGCAACACATCTCCTTCGCATAGAGTTGATCAGGTTGTTGATTGTGGCCTGTGGAATGTTGGTTCACTCCTCTTCAATGGCTGTGCGAAGTTGCTGGATATTGGCAGGAACTGGAACACGCTGTCGTATACGCCGATCCAGAGCATCCCAAATATGCTCAATGGGTGACATGTCCGGTGAGTATGCTGGCCATGCAAGAACTGGGATGTTTTCAGCCTCCAGGAATTGTGTACAGATCCTTGCAACATGGGGCCGTGCATTATCATGCTGCAACATGAGGTGATGGTCATGGATGAATGGCACAACAATGGGCCTCAGGATCTCGTCACGGTATCTCTGTGCATTCACAATGCCATCAATAAAATGCACCTGTGTTCATCGTCCATAACATACGCCTGCCCATACCATAACCCCACCACCACCATGGGCCACTCGATTCACAACATTGACATCAGAAAACCGCTCACCGACACAACGCCACACACGCTGTCTGCCATCTGCCCTGAACAGTGAAAACCGGGATTCATCCGTGAAGAGAACACCTCTCCAACGTGCCAGACGCCATCGAATGTGAGCATTTGCCCACTCAAGTCGGTTACGACGACGAACCAGAGTCAGGTCGAGACCCCGATGAGGACGACGAGCAGATGAGCTTCCCTGAGACGGTTTCTGACAGTTTGTGCAGAAATTCTTTGGTTATGCAAACCGATTGTTGCAGCAGCTGTCCGAGTGGCTGGTCTCAGACGATCTTGGAGGTGAACATGCTGGATGTGGAGGTCCTGGGCTGGTGTGGTTACACGTGGTCTGCGGTTGTGAGGCCGGTTGGATGTACTGCCAAATTCTCTGAAACGCCTTTGGAGACGGCTTATGGTAGAGAAATGAACATTCAATTCACGGGCAACAGCTCTGGTGGACATTTCTGCTGTCAGCATGCCAATTGTACGCTCCCTCAAAACTTGCGACATCTTAGACATTTTAGAGTGGCCTTTTATTGTGGCCAGCCTAAGGCACACCTGTGCAATAATCATGCTGTCTAATCAGCATCTTGATATGCCACACCTGTGAGGTGGGATGGATTATCTCGGCAAGGAGAAGTGCTCACTATCACAGATTTTTTTCAGATTTGTGAACAATATTTGAGAGAAATGGTTATTTTGTGTATATAGAAAATGTTTTAGATCTTTGAGTTCATCTCATGAAAAATGGGAGCAAAAACAAAAGTGTTACATTTATATTTTTGTTCAGTGTATGTATAGTTAATGTGTAACTTCTCCAATGTAAACAAACTAGAATCAGGCACTGAGACACACTAATGGGAAAGTACTGCCCCTTAGTGGTCATTATTTTTTCTTAGAGATAATGTCTAGATGTAAAACATAGTAATTGTAGATAGATAGATATATGTATTCTTTATTAATCCCAAATTTGGAAATTATCTTTGTTCCAGCAGCAGTGTCAAGCATTACACAAGTTAAACAAAATGTAAATATACAATAAGATACAAATGTAATACAAATTGAACCTACTGTAGCAGCAAGTACTTACAAATCCTCAATAGAAAATACATATTACAATAGAACATAGTAATCTGTTTTTTCTGTCTTATAATTATGTATTTTCAGTACATTTGGTAATGGAGAGCTCTGAACAATTTAGGCTACCATGGGTGCATTTCACTTCGGTTCAATGGATTCCTTGCGTCCCTCACTTGCGTCGTTTCCCTGCGACTAGTCCCTCCCACCAGGGAAGCATGGAGAGACGCAAGTGTCACTACCAGGGCTGCAGTCGAATAGTCCAAAAATCAGCTCCTATGTTCTAACCCTATCGTCTATTCCTTGACCTCTGAGTGAAACGTCACGGGGTTAAGGGATAGTGGATAGGAGAATTCCAAAGGATTTAGGAGAAGAGACTGCGGTACTTTAGAGAATCCGACTGCACTTTCACTATCCGACGTGTTTATGATGCGCCAGCGGACGTCATAAATGTGCGTCTGCTGCTGTGGGGAAACTATGGAAACTACAGTTTTCTATACAGCGGACTACAACATGGATGTATAATAAGAAGGAGGGACTACTGTAAACTCATCTGAGACTCTGCACCGTGCTCTGATGCTGTTGTTTTATGCTTTATGAACGTGGACAACAGAGAAACATATTCTTCATGACCAAAGTTGGAATTGAAATAAAAAAGGAAAGTGAAACTTATGCTCGTCACCCTCTCCCTCCGGTCCACATTAATACAAATGATCCCAATACGTATGATTGTATGAAAAGATCTTAAAATAAATACAAATGTATTTATTATAAACGTTAGTCCTTAACATCTATCACTGTGTATATCACCATTCAAACATATTTTAAAAGTTGAACAAACCCCACACAGCTCAGTGAAATGTTGACTTTATTTGATAATTTCAGTAAAAACTAACGTTCATATTTCTCTTTTTGATTATAATACTGATGAACGTTCAAAACAAAGCACTTTGGCAACTTACCACATAGGTTTTAAAATGCTTAATAAGCACCGTAACTTTCATGATATAATTTCTCCGTCATGATCGTTTGTTTCCGTAAACGGCCGACTGTTGTGTGACGTCAAATGCTGCGGCTGCAAAGCATTGTGGGGCAGCATTTTCTCCTCTCCTTTCGGTAAGGAAGGTCCAGTGGTTTCTAAGCTAAAGGAGGTTATAAAGGAAGTTTGAAACCTCCTTTCCTATCATGTAGAGAATTCGAACGGCACTTATCATGGCTGCCACTGAGGGACTTCCGGGTCATTTCACTCGGTTAGGAAGGTTCCTAAGCTAAATGGACTATTCGACTGCAGCCCATTTAGCTTAGGAACCTTCCTAACCGAGTGAAATGACCGCCGAATTGTCGAGCCATAGTTCGGAGGGTGTAGTCACAGGCTCGGGGTTGGTTTCAGGCTATGCAGGAGAAGCATCGAAGCTCATATCCTCCTGTCCCCACTTAGATGTGAACATGGGTGGAGTCAACATTCCTTGCTTGGTAGACACCGGGTCCATGGTGTCTACAGTCACTGAAAGTTTCTTTACACAGCATTTTGAGCCTTGGGGTCAAAAGAAACTCCAATCTTGCCATTGGTTGCAGCTCAGAGCAGCCAATGGGTTGGCCATTCCCTATGTCGGTTACTTGGAGCTAGACATTGAGCTCTGTGGAAAGAGGATGGCAAGCTGCAGGGTCCTGGTGGTCAAGGACCCTCCTGATGGTGCCTCCGCTGCTGTCCCTGGTATCTTGGGGATGAATGTAATCCGCAGATGTTATCAGGAGCTCTTTGGCCAGCATGGTTTAGCCCTGTTCTCCTTGCCTCCTGTATCAGGTGCTCCAGAATCTATCATTCACGCACTTCAAAAGTGCCATCAGGCCAGTGTGCAGGCCCCTCCTGATGTTGCTGGTAAGGTCAAAGTGCGTGGCCGGAAGGCTTGCCAAATTCCTGGTGGCATGATGAAAATTGTGGCAGCCACATGCTCACAACAGTACTCTAATGGCACTGTATTGTTCGAGCCCTTGGACTCAGGCCTTCCAGCTGGACTCAGGGGCGGACTGGGGGGAAAAAGTGGCCCGGGGATTAATTGACAGACACTTAATGCGCGGCATGTATCGGCCGGCCGGCGCCGAAAGTATGTTACTTAACAAAAAACCCTATGCATGTTATTTTGGACAATTATTCATATAGTAATCACATTACCTGAGCCCTTGAGTTGCCTAGAGCAAAATAGTTACGGCATATATTTAGTGATTTTAATGTTAACAGATCATTGATGCAATAACATTTTGACCCAATGTGCCTGACTTGACACATGGAATAAAATATGAGCGTAGGAAGCATCCTCAATGTGGGTGAGACAATTTAACAGAGGGTGTGGGCAGGTGGTGGACCTCACCTCCTCTAGGGGTTTCTGGGGGCAAGCTCGCCCGGGAAGATTTTTTTTTAAATGTTGAAGTTAAATGCATCAATCTGGTCCATTTTGAGAGCAA